GATCAATTGAGAGCAGGCTGTTTTCAGGGTCTAGTTCTTCTCTCTTGCTGTGATCATATGGAATATCTGCTCCTAACGCTGCTTCTCCATCACGTGGGTTTTCAGTTTCTGCTGGCAACACATAAGGGTCATCTAGAGAATCATAAATTGTTTCTCTCTCTTCTGATTCCTCAGGCACAACAATTACTTCAGGAATTGGTAAACTCTCACCAGTCTCACGCTCACTCTCACAATCTGCTTCAGCTTTGCTTTGATCACATTCATCTAAGTCCTTCTCAGCTGGTACGTGTTCATGCAGATTTGAGTCGTTTTCTTCAAGGCTGTCGTGATTCTCCTTGCTGCCTTCAAGCAGCTGATCATCTGATTCACAGACTCCAATAGTATTGTCACCACACTCTTCCACAAATGCATCTGGTGTAGACTCTGTTTCCAGCTCTGGCTCATATCCTGACTCAGGAAGTGTTTGAGAATGGGAGAATTGGTTACCATCATTCAAAAAAGTCTCTTCCATTTCAGGATTCTCATCTGAGTTTTCTAGGGGAGTTTCAATAGCCTCCTCATTGCAGTCATTCTCAAAAGGAATAATTTGACAACTATCATCGACATTTTCTGCCTTTGGCATTTCTTCTTCCCCTTTCTCAGAGTCTTCGCTTGCTTCACATGCTGTCTCTGATGTTTCTTCCTCACTTTTCATCTCAGTAGTTTGGTAACCATCATTTACGTTTTCTTCCTTTTCCACAGTTGTTTCATTGTCATTATCTGGAACTACTTCCTCTCCTTCCACTGCAGCTTCTTTGCTGGCTCCTTCCAAATCCTCTTCCACATCAGGTTCATCTTCAGTTATTTCTAATCCAACATCTGTTTCTCCACCAACCTCATCAGGAAGTGTACCAGGACTTGCACAGCCATCATCTACTAATTCCTCTTCTGTAGCCAAGACCAATTCTGCATTATCATCCAGCTCATCATTGTTGGCTGGACTGACTTCTGTATCAGGATTTGATACTTCCTCTTCTAAGTTTTGGGACAGTTCATCCTCTTGCTCCTCTTCTCCTAGTGGCTCACAACTTGGAATTGACTCATCTACATCTACAGGTGTTAAAATAATATCTTGGCAGATACTGCACTCCAAGTCCTCATCTCTATTTAAAATCTTATCACTTTCAAGATTATACTCGTTATTGTCCTTCACTATATCCCGGTTATTAAAAGCTTCCTCATCCTCACCTGCCAAATATGTTTTGGTTTCATTGGGATCGTTTATGCTGTCTACTTCTTCTTCTTCCTCCATATTCTTAGAACCATCCTCTTCAACATCAGGTGTGGCTGAAGACATTTGACAAATTGCTTCAGACTCATTACAGTCTCCAGTGTCTGTTAATTCATCTGACTCTGGTTCTACTGGTTCATCCCTATCTGAACAGTCGTTGCCCTCTGCTTCAGTTATCTCTGGATCACAGATCTCCTCATCATTAGTAGTGCTGTTACCTTCTTCTTCCTCTGCCATTTCTGGAGTTTCTAATGTCTCATTCTCTGCAGACGGATTGAAGCTCTGGTCATGCTCGGGATCCAGATCATCACAGTCTTTCCCTGTCAGCTGATCTTCAAGAACCACAATGTATTCATCACCAGCCTCTGAGTCCAGGCACTCAGTATTGTGCTGATTTCCTTCATACAACTCTCCATCAGAACATATCAGCTTTCCATTTGTGCACTTATTTAAGTTATTGTTGGTGTAGACACTTGCTGTCCCCTCAGTGTCGGCTGAGAGTTTTGGCTTGGGAGCAATGGGTGGTTTTGGACCCCTAGACATAGAGTTTGGATTATGAAGAACATCAGATCTTGTCAGCGAAGGAGAAAATTTGGGGACAACTACTGGAGACAGATGACCGATAATCTTTGGTTTTGGTGCTAGTGGTGGTTTTGTGAATTCTGGAAAAGAGAGAAAAAAGCCACATTAGCCACTTGCCATCTTTGATTTCATTTTAAATCAAGGAACCAGACCACCAGAGAATTCTCCACAATTTACTTCACTCATGACGGTATATTTTACCTAGAGATGTAGTCCAGACAAGGAGCCCGCCCCAGGGAGGAAAATGGTGGCGGGGGAAGCACATGGACTACAACACTCTAGAGGCACGATGGCTACACAAGTGAATTAAGTATATGTTAAACTGAACCAAACTGACACACTTCAGTTCAAGAACGCCGAGACATTTTGTTTCAACAGAACATTTTCTATCAGCCCCTCATTTGGATCCACTTGCAGCCTAAGCAACTGTAACAATGCTTTTCATATACACTGGAGACAGCAAACCAGACCTAACCCTCAACAACGTTTCTTTCAGCAGCAAATAAATAAAAAAAAGTTTCATTCAGCCTTGTAAAACTAACATGGACATTTACTAGCCCAAGGTATGGAATCTGTTCTCCCCCCCTCCACCTTTACCGTGATGACTGGGGATAATGAAGTGATAATGAAAATTAAGTGATATTTTACCTGCTGGCCAACTAATTTAATCACCAGGTTGAGAAGAATTATAAAGGCTTATTTATATGTAAAAAAGCTGAGCTATAATACACTAAATGATGCGTTTGTGCCCAGCATACTTAATTTAAATGGAGAGAACCATTTAAATTGGTGCCTGATTAAACTGAAGATCCAAAGTGTATAATTTCTTTAGCTGTCACATAGTTCTGGGGGGGTGGGGGGAAACTGCTAGAGACTGACTGCTTTCCTTCATAACCAAGCAGGACTGGACTAGAATTCTTGGCCTAGACTGGAAAGGCTTCTTCTCTCATGATCTCTCTACTGCTCCATGTTTTAATTGCAAGAAGCAAGATTTACTAACTCAGAGTGCACTGATTCCTTCACTCAGCACTATAATGTTTTGCTCAAAAGTGTAAGATTTCATTTGGCTCTGATATTTTTCTGTTTCCAGTGCCTGAAGCAAATATTCTGTGTCTTAAAATAGCTGTATAAAAATCCTGAAATGCCTGCATACGTAAACAACAAATCCCACGTGAGGTTTTAGACGAGATGTAGTGTGTGGTGCCTATTCAAAGCAAACCTCTGATACCAAACATAAGCCAAAATACCAAATGGCTGCAGATGTACTTAACTTGTAGGAAGAAGGTTTTCTTCCCTTAATGTTTCCCCTCAGCAGTGTCTGACTGGGATGATTAAATGATTAGTCAGTTAGAAGAATTTCAATTATTGCAATACTTTTAGTCAATTAATGTGATTACATATTTTAATAGGGGAAAGGAAGCTTTCCATTTTATGGAAGGCAACCAGACAATGTGTACTTCTTTTATTAAGCAGAGCAAAATTCATCATGCATAACCCCTATGCCCCATCTGTTGAAAGGTAAATGATACACACACTCTTCAGATGTTTTCCCTTGTATAAAAAGCCATATTGGAAATGACATATGGAACTTCGGGAACACTGGTTACTGCGCCATTAAGGTCCTGATTATTTTGTAATGTTAGAGTTTAAAAAGATTTGTCATTTGGAAGCAATCACAGCTGAAAATGGGATGGGGACTATGCTCAGGGATGAAGTAGTGGTGGATGTAGCTTGTTACAAAGGACCCTCTGTGCTATTTTCAATCACTTTTGGGTTTGCTTTATTTTTCTTATTTTTTGGCATCTTGTTCCAACTGAACTCATTTATATTTGACTGTAAAGGCATATTTGGTTTATTAAATGTTGGGACACATAATAGGAGTCTTTTTTTGAAATGCCTACCCTTGCTGCAATTTCTTCCAATGCTCAGGATGATGCTGTGGTTTTGGCATTCTTTAGTTGACTCACAAAACAATCTTTATAGAATTATAAACTGCCTCTTTTGGAGCCAGAAGGAGTTCACCTGAGCAAGAACAGAGTTAAAAACTGAGCAAAATATCTCAAGATTAGTTCCACAGAAGTTAAACTCAGAAGAAACCTGCTTTTTATGTCATCTTGTCCATCACCACAGAAGCCAGTTCTGAATTGATGTGTGATATATGCATGTATCATACATGTAGCATACAATGTATGCTACATTAGCTAGTATCACAAGTGCCGAAGAAGAATCAATTCGTATTAAAATTCTTATGCAGAAAGTCATCAAATATCTTTCTCTTTTCTTTAATCAAGATGATAGAATTTCTCACCTATCTAGCATACAGAAGAGGAACTAGACTGGCATTGATTCTGACTACTATAAGACTACTATGGGGATTGTTACATGAGGAAACCTGGGGATTACTACATGTTTCCATGACCTTACGTACATGGAAATAGTTGATAGATAAGTGGTACTAGTAGACAACACTCCAGGAATATATATTATGGTTATAGGACCAATAAAATGGATGTTTTGCTAATGGTTTCCTTTGGAGGCTCATTGCATCAACTTTTAACTTGGGAAACTCAAATGTAAGGGAGACTTTTGGTGACTGGGTAAAAGGAAGATGAAGAATGTCAAAGTATTACATGGGCAACAGGATGAAAGTCATTTAAAAGTTATCCTTATTCTACTTGAGCAAGCTGCAAAATTACTTATTATTCAATTCAAACATGAGGAGGAAAGAAGAATGATTGGTTGGTAAGAAGAAGTGTGAAAAGGTCTAATCTCCATTTGTTTGTGAATTTGGGGCATTTGAAGTGGTTTTATTGTGCTACCAAATCCAGCTAAAAATGTTAAATAATGCTTTGATAAGATACAGGTTGGCTTCACAAATGCCACATACATAACCAGAAGTTTTCAAATAAGTTTATTTAAAGACATCCAGCATGGGGAAAATGAAAATTTGGGAACATTCTTTATTAGACTTTAATACGGGACACTGAATCCCTGTGTACCTTTGGCCAGGGCAATCTTTTGGTAATGTTTCCACTTCCAATAGCATCTGTCTAGATAAGAGGACTGTAAAGTAACTTCTTGAAGGGCAACATTAACATCATGCCGTAAGAAGTGCGCATAGTCCATAAATAATAACTATACATGTTTATTCTGAGATGTGTATTTTTACACGAGGGAAAAGACGCAACTATTT